GGTTGCAGGCTCGATCCCCAGTTTGGGGCATGCACGAGGCAGCCGATCAGCGATTCTCTCTCATCATGGATGTTTCTCTCTCTCTCTCTCTCTCTCTCTCTCTCTCCCTTCCTCTCTGAAATCAAGAAACATATATTAAACAAACAAAAAAAGAGTAAAAAAATGACCCAGCAGCCACGTCCCTTGGGGTCATTCACGCGCCCAGATCAGCACCCCGGATTCTGAAGCAAGTTTGCATCCAGCCCTGGCCAGTGTGGCTCAGTAGATAGAGCGTCGGCCTGCGGACTGAAAGGGCCCGTGTTCGATTCCCATCAGGGCACAGGCCCGGGTGGCGGGCTCCATCCCCAGTGGGGGGCGTGCGGGAGGCAGCCGGTCCATGATTCTCTCTCATCGTGGATGTTTCTCTCTGTCCCTCTCCCTTCCTCTCTGAAGTCAATAAAAATATATTTAAAAAAATAAAGTTTGCATCCAGCGCCCCGGAAAGCTGGCGAAGGGCCACGTGGCTAGTGCAGCCTCGGGGCTGAAGGTCGAGGCAGTCGTGTTGGGGACCTCGGGGCGGGCTGCTGGGAGGGTCCCCCCCCCACCCCCCAGCGAAGGAGCAGCAGCCGAGTTCAGCGCTGTGTCCCCCTGGGCACCATGCCCTCCCTCTCCCAGGGAGCCGGTTGGCACTGTGCCCGCGGGTGCTTCAGGCGGGTGGGCAGCTCCATCTGGGAGGCGGGGAGAAAGCGGATCTGCTGCCCTCCGCATTCCCATTCCTGGCACTCGCCCCCGTGGAAAGATCTAGAACAGCAGTTCTCAACCTTCTGGCCCTTTATTTATTTTTTTTAAATATATATTTTATTGATTTTTTCACAGAGAGGAAGGGAGAGGGATAGTTAGAAACATCGATCAGCTGCCTCCTGTACACCTCCCACTGGGGATGTGCCCACAACCCAGGTACATGCCCTTGACCGGAATCGAACCCGGGACCCTTCAGTTCGCAGGCCAAAGTTCTATCCACTGAGCCACCTGAGCTGGACACTTCTGCGTCGTAAATTTCTCGAACAATTACAGCAGCAGATCTTTGACTGCAGTGGGGAAGGTACCTTCCTTCCTCCCTCCCCAGCACATGCATCTGAACAATCCTCAAGTTCCCTCTGCACGATGAAGGGAATTCTAGAGGCAGATCCGGGGGGGTGGGAGTGTTGGGGGTGTGTGTGGCTGTGCAACATATGTGTGTACTTAACCCACTAACTGCACACCTAGCCATGGTTAGGATGGTGAATATCATTACCCATGTGGTACCAGAATTTTTTTTTAATCATTTTTTTATACAAATACTTCTATTTATTTATTTTTTTAAATATATTTTATTGATTTTTTACAGAAGGGAAGGGAGAGGGATAGAGAGTTAGAAACATCGATGAGAGAGCCTCCTGCACACCCCCTACTTGGGATGTACCCGCAACCAAGATACATGCTCTTATTAATTTTTTACAGAGAGGAAGGGAGAGAGATAGAGAGTTGGAAACATCGATCAGTTGCCTCCTGCACTCCCCCCACTGAGGATGTGCCCGCAACCCAGGTACATGCCCTTGACCGGAATCGAACCCGGGACCCCTCAGTCCGCAGGCCGATGCTCTATCCACTGAGTCAAACTGGTTTTGGCTAATTATCATTTTTAACAGAGAGCAATCAACACTAGAATAGAGCCCAGGCCAGAAGTGACCCTGACCCTGTGCCCTGCTCTGTTTCAGCCACGCCGGCCCCGGCGCCTGCTCTCCGAGGGACCGGTCACTGC